TGCAAAAGGTTACCAAAAAAATAATATATGTACTGCATTATTTAATTGTATTATATTAAATTATATTAAATATGTAAATAAATTTAAATATTATTACATTATAATTTTAATCCATGACCATTTCCAGCTATAACATTAAAATAATTTATGTATATCAGCATTTATTATTTTTTAAACTTTCTGATCATAAGTGATAAGTGATAAGTCTTCTATACGTTATACATACAATATATGTATAACGTATAGAAGACTTACGAAACGGTACAAAGCAAAATCCTTTCTATTGTGACATTATGCTGATGATTTAAAGCAATACGAACTTAATAAAAAATATGTCAATATATTTAAAATTGATGGTTGATTCTATCAAAAATTAAACATATATAATTATATATATATAAGTAAGTAAATGAAGTTAGTACGACAATAAAAACAACAGAATGCGTGGCACTTATGTGGATATTTTTTTCACAAATATCCTTTCTTCTTCATTTTTGTGAGAAAAAGACACCTGTTGAATTTTTCCTTATGTGTCGCATCGATCGCTTAATCGTAGACTTCTTTAAGAAAAATATTGCAAAATTACAAGTATTTGAATTTCTTTATAATGATCTTTAATGTAAAAATAACGTTAAATTTAATAGTAAAATTTATGTTAAAAGAAGGAACATGCAATCAATCGATCGAAAAGAGGGGATGGATGAAATGTTCCCGACTTTTTCGCAGTCATATGTGTTCCTACGCTCACAGAGATGATTTGCGCAAAGGATCGATACTTTAGTGTTAATCGAATTCTCATGCTCGCTACTGGTTTGTGGCCTTATGAACAATCCAAATTTATTCGACTGCAATTGACTTTTTATTACGGAATTCTGGGAAGTTTTATTGCATTTCAGGTAAATAAATGCATAGTATTTAATAGATTTTTTATAAAAAAACATCCTTATTTATTAATAACAATAATTAATAAGTTACCACATTGTATTATTAATAGCAATCTGACATATTTAAATTTATTTATAATTATACAGTAAAATAATATATTTTTGTTATATAATTATTATGACGTACGTATAGTTAGCTTTTGTTCAATGTATTATTATACGTAAGAAAAACAATTTATTTTATTTTACATATAATTCAACAAAATTATTTTCCGTAGTTTACAACATTAGCGACTTCAAAATATGATTTGCAATTAACCATTGAAATTTTATCTGTTACATTCTTCTTTAATTTCTTCTTGATATCGTATTTTTCATTCACCTTTAACATGGATATTGTAAGCGATAAAAAATATTTCTTATTTAAATAAATGCATGTTGCACTTTCTAAATTTCTTGGAATAAAATCTCACTTTAAAATAGTTAAAATAGTGTAACTATTGAGAAAAAATGAAAAATTTGCATTCTTGAATAAGAGTGATTAATTTTCACTTGAGTGAAATTCACTTAAAAAAAATGAGGTTATTTTTCTTTATAATAAATTTAAAAAAAAAAGATTGAAAGTCTGCCACTCTTATTCAAGAGTACAAATTTTTCACTTTTTTTCTTTTAGTAACAGTATTTTAATTCTCTATGAAATTTTATTCCAAGATATTTAGAGAGTATATTATATTACATCGGTCTATATCAATTTCCGCATAACAAGTAGCATAGAAAATCATTGACAGGTAAAACATTTGTTAGAACTTCTCCAAGATACCTATGATGAACTAAGAGACGAAGATGAAATTGCCATTATGGAAAAGTATTGGAACATCGCAAAACGTTACACTGAAATACTTACGCGTAAGACAATCTCTCAGTTTTCATTACTCAGGAAATATGCAAGTTTCATATAAAAATTCAAATAATATTTTTATTGAATAATCTATTTGCGATTGTATACAGTATTGTGTTTCAAATTTCGTAATTATAAACAGTATAAGCTAATTTTTTTAAGTAATTAACTAATCGATAATGATACAATGAACACGTACATATCGTGATATTACATTAAATCATATCACACGTATACATCATTTTGTTACCATTTGAAATATTTGCAACGTCTTCTTGTGTGTAACCATCCTTAACACATATAAGGAGAACGTAAATGAAAAACATTTTATAAAAAATATTATACCGATCAAATAATATTCTGGAAATTAAAATATTTTTCTCTTTACAAACTTCTATCAATATTTATACTTTAAGAAGTGCGTTTATACGCACAAAACTTGAAATAGCCATATATAGCTGTACATGAAGCTGTACATGATACTGTAAACATACATATTGGGAGAGATTAAAATAAAATAAATTTAAAATATATAATAATATTTTAAAATATTAATTAATAATTTTTTATGATTGTTTTCAAATCATTCTTTAGTGCTCTGTATCTTCACCGATTTTTTGTTCATCTTTTCACCATTATTGCCACATATAATCGATACTATGTTCTCTGTAAACGAATCCCAGCTGCAGCCATCATTAAAAATTGTCACAGAATATTTCATCGATCAAGAAAAATACTTTTATTTAATTATACTACATGCAAATGTAGCATTATTTATAGGCTCACTAACAATGCTCGCAACGGGAACAATGCTTTTAACGTATATGCAACATGTCTGCGGAATGTTAAAAATTGCCAGGTAAGAAAATTAATGTGATAATGATTCTAATAAAAGGATCCCACTAATTACATGATAAAATAAGTCCCGATGAAATGAGGTAATTTTCACGTATGATGTAGCTTATAATGAGGTGGACAAAATATGTCATATATACGAAGTTAAAAAATAGTTAAAAATAATTTTTGAACTATAAACATAAAAGGTGCAAAATTTATACTTACAGAGCATCTTTGACATCATAGCTCAAAAATCTATCTAATATTAAATTTTAAGTTTAATTTAAAGTAACATCTTTTGTCATACATTATAAGCTATTTTACACGTAAAAACTAATTCATTTTATCGGGAATTTTATTAATTTTCCATAATACGAAGTCTTTTATATTGTAAATAATAAAATATTTGCTTTGTCGCATTCAATCAGTATGAAATTACATTGCATTTATTTCAAAATTATTATGCGTGTTAATTATATGTTCAGGTATTGTGCAAACATGCACAATACGTGAATTTATTGTTGGCTTAGACGGTTCCTTTTTTTTAATTCGAAAAACTACAGTGAATATTATATGTTCACATATTGTGCAAACACAAATTATTATACAATTATACAATATTACACAATTTTATATATATGTATATATATATA